ACTTCTTCCCTATTGGCAATTGTACAAACTCCTAGGTTTTATTATCTTCAAGAGCTTGAATTTCAACTTTCATAGCTTCAATTCACAACTTGTCTTGTGAAGCTTCATGAAAGGATCTTGGTTCAGTTACTGCAGAGAAAGCCTGCAAGTAGGCTTGATAAGTTGGTTTCAAGTTGGAGTAACATACTGAATTGCGAATGGAATAAGGTTACTGTTGTTGTAAGGGAATGACATAATCTGTCATCCATATTGGCACTCTCTTATCTCTGCTAGATCTTGTGAGCTCTTGTGGAGGTGGTAGATTCATCTATGATGAAGCAGTTGTGTCAGTACTTTGTGGAGCAACTTCATAAGTGTCAGGTGGTTGAGTTGGTACTGCATGAAGATGACTCTCATGTGGCATATCTGGATATGTTGTGTGGGGAGCACTCATATCTGTTGGTAGTATTTCCTCCTGTACTGAGTTAATACCTGCGATTAAATCCACTTCTACATCTAGAACCTATTTAGGTTGCTCCTGACTTTCAACCTCTAAGAACATATGGTCTATGTGTGGTTGCTCCACGCTAAATGGAAACTTATTCTCTTTGAAAGTGACATCTCTGTTAGTAAAAAAAATTGTGCCTAGACAGATCATATAGAATGTATCCCTTTGTAACAGAAGAGTATCCCATGAAAGCTGCTGCAATTACCCTGGCTTCAAATTTATCATGTACATCCACCCTCTTGGCTTAACATAAACATCCCAGTGTCCTCATATGGTCAAGAGAATGCTTCTTCCTATGAAATACTTCAAATCGGCATTTACCTCCCAAAGCACTAGAAGGTAATCTATTGATGATATACACAACAGTTAAGATGCATTGACTCCAAAATCTTATTGGAATTGAACCCTGAAACATTAATGCTCTTGCAATTTCAAGGACTTGTCTGTGTTTCTCTCATCAATGCCATTTTGCTGAGGTGTATACACACATGTCCTTTGATGAACTATTCCAAAAGATTGGAATAGTGTGATGCATTCACTATTAACAAACTCTATCCCTTTATCAGTTCTTACTATCTTGATGCACCTGTCAAACTGTGTTTTTACAAGCTAAATAAAATTTCTCAGAATCACAACCACATCATTTTTTAACTTCAGCAAATACACCCAACATATCCGGGAATGATCATCTACAATAGTAACAAAGAGTTTATTGCCATCATATATTTGTACACCATATGGTCCCCATACATCAATATGTATCAAATAAAAAATTACTTCTGCTCTACTAGTACTAAAGCTAAATGGCAGTCTAGCATGCCTAGCTAATGGACATATAGAACAATCCTCTAATTCTTTCTTACAATCATCATATCCTAATGAAAAAGTTTGTTTTATTGCTCATGCTGAGGCATGTCTAAGCCTTTTGTGTCACAATCTTACATCCAATTTTTCTATTCTACTAGACAAACCAGTTGTTTTATTCTTCTCTCTTTCTCCGGTAGCTTGAGGTAGTATGTAGAGGCCATCATCCTCCCTACCAATCGCTCTCACAACTCCATTGCAGAGGTCCTAGAACACAAAGAAATCAGGAAAGAAGCAAACAGAGCAATTCAATGCTCTTGTGATTTTTGCTACTGATAACAAATTGTACTTAAAATCAGGAATGTAAAGGAACATTATCCATTGTCCTGCTTGTCCCAATCTGCATGATCATATATGTGTTACCTGTGCAACCCCTCTATTAGGTTAATGAACTTTCCTGGTCTTATTTCTATTTACTTCTTGTTTCTTATCCAGCATGTTTATATCTGAGACCATATGATTTGTTGCACCACTGTCAACTATCTAAACCTTTTCTTTGATATATGCTAAAAAAACATTAATACTACCTGCACTACCTGCCATGTTCGTTGATGTTTCAGGTAGAATTTCCTTGTTGAGCAACTTCAGGATCTGATTGTATTGTTCTGAGGTAAAGTGTGGTGCAATGTACTATTTTGATGTATTAGCAGTTATGTTCTTGTCTGCTCCAGTCTCCTGTGGGTTATGTTCTTCAATGATGGCATTATTTGCCATGTTACCCCCAAACCTCTTCTTATATTTGAAATCAGCCGGATAACCAATCAACTTGAAGCATCCTTCACGAGTGTGCCCCTTCATCTTACAGTAGTCACATATGACATTATAATTCTTTTTGAACCTCTGAGTGTTGACTTTTTCTCCATTGCCACCTCTTGTGGTCATTAATGTTGTGACTTCTATGTTTTCAGTGGCAACAGAAATATTATACATAGTCCTCTAACTTTCCCGCTAAATTAGCATAGAATATGCCTTGTTAACCGAAGGAATTGGGTCCATCATCAAAATCTAGCCCCTTGCCTGATCATATGTTTCATTTGAACCCATCAGAAATTGCAGAAGTTTTTGACGCCTCATGAATGCAACAAAATCCCTAGACTTCTCACAATCACACTCAGGAGTTGGAGCTAAGCGGTCAAAATCCTCCCAAAGTGATCTAATTTTTGAGCAGTAGGTCGCAATAGCGCTGGTTCCCTAACTCAAACTAGCAATCTCCTTGTGCAACTAGAAAATGCGAGAACCATCAACCTTGTCAAACCTTTCCTTCAAATCCTTCCGGACCGCACATGCACTGGAGGAATACACAATTCCGTTGATTAAATCCGGTGATATGCAATTCATAATCCACATAAACACAATTGCGTTGCACCTCTCCCACATATCAACCAAATTTGGATCGTAATTTTCTCGCTTGCAACTGCCATTGATGAACCCTAGCTTGTTACACTGTAGGATCGCAATTCACATCGCTCTACTCCAGATGGAATAGTTCTCTGTTCCGATCAATTGCAAGGATATCAAAATAGTTCAGAATTGTCCGTCGATTGCAAACAAAGTGGGTGATTGTGGCTCAATTTTTCTGGCAACTCATTATCGATGTTGTCCGCCATTAATGAGTTTCGATGAAGTATGTTTTCAGTAATTCAATTTCTCATAGAGACTATATAAATGCCCATATGTTTTGATACCATGTCAAAGTTTAAGCAGAAGAGATGAATTGAGAGTTCAACAATGGAGGATCGAATGTTCCAGAGAGAGTCAGTGGAGAAAATTTTACTTTTTCATTTTCATCTAAATAGTACATAATATAATGTTTATATAGAAGATTACTACTGCTCACTAACTAACAATTACACAGCTAAGCTTAGCATAATTAACTCTAATGTCAGCCCACTAACAAACTAACCAGTCCAATTGAAAGCTAACTGCCTCACACAAGTTGCATGTGTTATGTGACACTTCCACTCTCAATAGGGGTTCCTCAAGTTAAGGAGACTAAGAATTCTCCCAAAAGTAATCATATGCAAGAAGCCATGGATAATATGGTTACTCATATTATCCGTCGATTAATCCGTTTTTTATCCATATTAAATATGGGTAGGATATGATAATTTATCCATTTTATTAATAACCGTTTTTGATCCGAACCATATTCGACTCGACCCACCCGTTTGCCACTCCTACTTTCAATAGTAAGACACATCTTCCAGACAAAACAAACGGGGTAAAATTGTCTTCATATCTTATAATAACATCAACTACACTGTCTATTTTAAGCATCTTAAAACTTTAACCCTCAAGACAGTGCTTATCTCTTATGCAAGCACTTCTAATATAAATCACATTTTCAAGCTGTAAAATAGATAAAGTTAACAAAATCAAGCTCAAAATGTTTAGCATTTTTATAGGGAATTTTTACCTATCTATACTACATTACAAATTTATTTATCCCTTTTAAAGAGATTATCACTTAATCATATTAGTATATACAATTTACCGTTTATATACAAAATAAGTATTAGACTTCAATCTTACCTATTTTAAGCTTCATTCTTCTCTATTTCTCTCTTTTTCTTTCTCTCTTTCTCATGCCTCTTTCCCCATAGGTAAAACTCCGTATCATCGCATCACAATAAATTTGAGCAAATGCAAATTAGTAGATAAATAAGTACTACTTTGAATCTCTATAATCTAAGAAACTTGGGGGCGTTAACAACAATGAAGACATGAAACAACACTACTCTCGAAAATAAATTCTACTGCCGAAACAATTGTTTGATTTGTGAATTAGATTTTATTTGGGTGTATGAAACATGAAGATATGAGTCTAAACTCTATTGATAGTTGTTCAATCGTTTCGAAACTTTGAATTCAAAAATCAAATTTTACGAATTTTGTTATTTATTTGGATTGGGTGTTATTACAAATATTCTTTGGAGTTTATATCTCAATTTTGAGAGAATTTGATAAAGATTCGAGGTGATTTTTGTTAGAATTTCATATTGAAACTCGAAGAAGAAGATTAAATAAATTGTATATATTTTGTATGTTGGGTGTAGAAACGGCATAAAACATATAAACAATTAATATAGTTGCATATAATTTGTATATAAATTGTATGTAAATTATAATTTTTGACTGGATTCTGTACAAAAAAATTGTATTTAAGTTGTAAATAAATTATAGATTTTGACCGAATTTATATATTTTTTGTAAGAAAACTCTAGATTAAGTATAAAATTTTATATATATATATATATATATAATTTATATACGAAAAAGTCCCTTTTCACAGGGAGACTTGGTTAACTGCCAATTCAAGTCTTGTATAGAATTAAATGGGTCACAAGTTTTTTTTTGGAGGGAAATAACATTGTATAGTCGCTTTAGAAATAATTGATAAAGCTTGAATTCGAAGTGAATCTGTGAAGGAATATCTAGGGTTAGAGAGAAACGAAGAGGGAGAAGAAGTAAGCTTCTAGCTTCTGTTTCTTTGAATTATTCAGCTCAAATGAAAGTGTTCAATTACACATAGCTATATGGGCCAAAGACTAAACTGACCCAAAACTAAAATAAAATGAGTGCATAAATACAGCTTTGGGCTTCTAGGCCCAATACAAAAGAAAGTAAAGGAAAATAAATGGAAGCCCAACTAAGTGACATTTTCCTTATACTCCTTATACAAATTAACATCCCCCGGAAAGTTGGAGGGTGATACAACCCCCAACTTGCGAAGATGAACAAAGTGGATAGCCTTAACTAAAGGCTTGGTGAACATCTCAGCCAACTGAGTTGCGCTTGAAGTGTGAAGCAACTGAAGTAGCCCCTCATTCAACTTGGTGCAAACAAAATGGAAGTCCAATTCAATATTCTTAGTGTGTTCATGGAAGATAGGATTTTTGGAAATATGAATGGTAGCATGATTATCACAAAACAAATGAATAGGAGAAGAAAGAAATATGCCAAAGTGAGAAAGATGTCTACAAATCCAAGTTATCGCAGCAGTGGCCTTGCTCATGGACCTATATTCAGCCTCAGCAGAAGACAAGGACACTATAGACTGTTTCTTGGATTTCCAACCCACAAGACTGTCACCCAGCAATATGCAAAACCCACCAACAGATTTCCTACTATCCGGGAAAGTACCCCAATCACTATCATAATAAACACTCATAGATAGATCAGAAGAATTATTATAGAAGACACCAAAACCAGGAGTACCCATAAGGTACCTGACTAACCGTAAAGCAACTTGCATGTGAGGAATGCAAGGTTTCTGGATAAACTGGCTCAAATGCTGCACAACAAAATACATGTCAGGCCTGATATGTGTTAAAAATTTGAGTTTACCCACAAGGCACCTGTAAGTCTCTGGATTAGGCAAGGGATCACCACAATCTACTTTCAATTTCTCATGCATTTCAAGAGGATATACCACAGAAGAACAATCAGAAGAGTGAAACTCTGAAAGCAAATCATGGACAATTTTTTTTTGATGAAGTAATACACCATTCTCAGAATACAAAACCTCAATACCCAAAAAATAATTGAGTGTTACTAGGTCCTTAATCTTGAATTGATCATGGAGAAAGGCTTTGATAGCAACAATTTCACACAAATCAGTCCCAGTAATAATAAGGCCTAATGACTTCCTGGCCACTTAAACTTGTAAGGCTTTTGAAAGTCGATACACAAACTTTGGACTTTCCCATTTGAACACTCAAACTCGTGAAACCCTTAATTAATAAACACATTTGACCCTTGACCCTACGCGCGTGTATTACACATTCACAGACGTGTCCATCCAGTCAGCAAATGACCAACGGGATTGTTACACATCAAGGGCAGCTGTGCTGGAATAAATTTATTAATTTCTAATTTTTCTTCTATTTCCCTTATTTTCTTCTTCACCAACTGATAGAATTAGGAGGTAGAAGCTTGAGATAGTGACGGGGAATGAACACATATCATTCACTACACCTAAGATTGGTTCACTGATGAATGTGCAGACCAGTAAAGATCTTGACGGACTTCGTATCTTCTATTATCTTGTTCAGGATCTCAAGTGTTTTGTGTTCTCTCTTATCTCTCTCCATTTCAAGATCAAACCTATTTAAGTCTGTGATTTTGCCATGGACAATCCCTCAAACAAGAAAAAATTAAAGATTATATTCATTTTAATTTTTTGCAGAGAAGCTTTTAGTGAAGAAAAATAATTGTCTATTTTGATTCTTAAGGATAATATGTTTTTGGGTATTCTTCAGCAGTTTTAATGGGGAAGGAGACAAAGGTTAGTAGGTGTAGGAGATATTGTGATGTTTAGGAAGTCAGACCATTGGTTTATTTGAGGTATTTTTTGCGAGCATAAATCCACCATTGATGTACAGTGAAGAGCTTTAAAGCCTAAAAATGAAGAAGGGGAGAGGGAGGCACTGTTAGGCGTAATGGGGAGGAGTGACTGGTTGGGTTCGTTTGGTCGTTGTTGTGGGTTATGAGTGAAAACCTTGTTTTTGGTCATTGGGGATGGTGCAAAGATACAGGGTGGTGTGAAGAAGATGAGATCCGGGGGGGGGGAGGGGGTTTCTATTATGGAAAT